TATATTTACATTCAGCCTGTGTGCAGTTTCTGTCTGGCCAAAAACGGACCGAATTTGCATGCCCTTGTGGCTTATGTGGATTCTACACATTTAAACAATAAGGTATCTAGTATTATTTATGGAGCAGATAAAATACATATAATCATTTATTAATCAATTATCATTTTGACATATTTTTTCTTTATTTAAAGGCTGAAATGTGAGGTTTACCTTTTTATTAAACTTTTTCCAAGCTTTATTTGAACATTTACATTAGATATTTGAACATTGGTAATATTATTGTTTTAATGATTATGCAAACAAAAAGTCATTTTATTTGTTGTTTGTTGATTTTTAAATATAAAACTTGGTGAAGTGATTTATGTGTCGGTACTTTTTAAACATCTTCAGCACATTTGAACAATACCGTGATAATACTGATAACCGTGATAATTTTGGTCACTATAATCGTGATAAGACATTTTCATACCGTTACATCCCTATTCTGAACATTTGTATATTTATTTATTTTTTTATTTTTTTTAGTGTGTGTTTTGGTGTGCATAAATGTATATGAACTTATTATATCACTTGGTTTTTTGGAGTCTCCAAGTGTCTTTTTTTGAAAAGATGTCTTTAATGTATCTTTAAATAAGATTGCAGGAAATACAGTTTTGTGAGAATCACCCTTCAATCTTTTGGTTTACTTTGCTGGATATAGTAAATAAGGACAAAATTAACGTATTAAGCAAGATAAATGGTATATGCTTAATTTCATGATAAGTGTGCAATTAATCGCACCCTTTCTGTGTGATTAATCGCGATTAATTGCACACTTATTAAAAATTTTAATCTATTGACAGCCCTAGTAAAAAACACAAACAATAGTATATAAACAATACTTAAAAATGGTTAAACTTACATAGCATGTTATTTACTTAATTTCTTTTACTTATTTTTGCAATAATCGTGTATATTTGAATAATGAAACAATTGAGCAAAAGAAAGAAAATGAGAAAATGAAAGAAATTTTCAGAGCCACAAATGAGTCACTTTACCTCCCTCTCTACCTCTCTTTCTCTCTCTCTCTTGATAAACTGGCTGCATTTCAGAGTCTGCAGAGAGAGCGATAGCTATCGAATTTCACCTCACTGCCATGACTAAAGCTTCTCCCCCTCTGGTCTCTGTGAAGCGATACCATCGCAGACTGTTTCACTGCCTCCAGATGGGTAATCGGCTGGCCAATTGGCAACAACAAAGGACAACAGGGTGCATTGTGGTCAGCTTCCTTCAATGGGTGGGCAGCACACAAGACGTACACTGGTGTCACGTTCTTTTGCGAGTGACAAATTGGCTGGGGACCACACGCCTTGTTACATCTATCTCTCGAGCTGATCGTTTTTATAAAGCCCAGCTCCAGGACTTATATTGCCCATGCGGTCCCACCGGAACCCCTCACCAGAGCATCTGATAAGCGCAGCAACTGTCAGTCTTAATTAGAAGTTCACGTAAGGCCATCTCCCTCGTGGATCTCGTTGATATTGATTAAAGGAGAGCAGGAGATCCAACCGAACGCGACCGCTCTGGGCACAAGACGGCCAACAGATGGATCCTGGGATGCTGGGAAACAGCGTGGAGCTGCGCTGATGCTGGAACAATCTTAACAGACAGACCCAGGATGTGATATGGCACGACACATGAGTTTTAAGTGGTTTGTGGAAATAGAAAGTGGTTGCTATGGTGTTTCAGGTCAGAATGTTAACGTTGCAGTGTTGCTATGGTGTTAAAATTAACTCGCGATCCATGTGGAGCTGCAGTCGTTGAGGAACTGAGTGAACGCATTTACTCGGATAACACAATTCATAGACATTAGCAGTCGGTCTGGTGTCGATTATACATGAAATGGGGTTTGAAACTCATTTACTTCCATAAAGTGAAATATTTCTGAGTGAAACTTGATTTGGATCTAATTTGTAATTGATTTGATTGTAAAACGTAGCTGGGGATGGTGAGCCAAAAAGTGAAGTCATTTCAGAGACAGTGCACTATTATTATGATGAAAACTTGTTTACATGCACTGATAAGACCAGTAATGTGCATTAAAGGGATAGTTCACCCAAAAATTTAAATTCTGTCATTAATTACTCATGTCGTTCCAAACCCATAGGACCTTCATTCATCTTCAGAACACAAATTAAGATATTTTTGATGAAATCCAAGAGCTTTCTGACCTTGCACAGACAGCAACGCAACTACAACATTCAAGGCCCAGACACATAGTAAGGACATCGTTAAAATAGTCCATGTTATATCAGTGGTTCAACTTTAATTTTATGAAGCTTTTTGTGCACAAAGAAAACAAAAATAGTGACTTTATTCAACAATTTCTTTTCTTCCATGTCAGCCTTCGGCGCGCGTTCACAAGAGTTGTATTCTCAAAGCTTCATAAAATTATGGTTGAAGCACTGATGTCACATGGACTACTTTAATGATGTCCTTACTACCTTTTTGGGCCTTGAACGTGGTAATTACATTGCTGTCTATGCAGGGTCAGAAAGCTCTCGGATTTCATCAAAAAAAATCTTAATTTGTGTACCAAAGGTGAACGAAGGTCTTATGGGTTTGGAACGACATGAGGGTGCATAATTAATGACAGAATTTTCATTTTTGGGTGAACTAACTCTTTAAAGGAATAGTTCACCCAAAAATGAAAATACGGTAAAATATTTATTTCAAGGTGTCTCTAATGCAATTCAGGTCCACAATGAACGTGGTTGTAAATGTGTGTGCATCCATCGGGCCAGAGAGCTCATGCTGTTTAATACCCCTCCCTGTCCTTGATGGTGGAATCGGGACAGTATGTTTCCATGACGACCAAGACCCAGCGATGAGAGAACAAGGCGCAGATGCAGTGGTTGTCAGGGGCAACCGGGGAGAGCGAGAGAGAATGAGCGAGGCCAGTGAAGTGGATGGGTAACAGCGAGAAACAACTGAACATAAAGATTCAAACAAAATCGTTCCCACTCAGCTGGGAGAGGAAGGGACGTAACCTTCACTTTGCAGTGGGTATGAACGAGAGGGAGAATATCCTAACGAGTGACGATCGGTCAACATGTGCCGTCCAATCTGGAGCAAAGTCACCCTCTCCTTCAAGAGGCCTTTATTTCAGCACTGATTATTTTTTGCTCTACACGCTGCCGTCTCTCTGGAATACGCCGTCCGGGAGCATCAGTGACCACTGCAGCAAGGTGAAAAGTTGAGTGGTGATGGGCGGCACTTAAGTCTAACATCTTCTATTTCTGATGATCTTGCATTCCTGTTCACCTCGTCACGATCAAACGGCGACCTTTCGCCTCACCGTCAGACTCGCTGCGGCCCGCAGTCTGGCACAGTCAAGGGTTGCTGTTAAAGCGATGACCTCCAAAGAGATCTATCATCGACAACTAATGCAAAAGTTAAAGGTGCCAGACTCTGCAAGCCACCTGGGGTATACGACAATGCTGTGGGCACTATTCCAAGTTGCAAGCTGGGTAAAAAAAATGAAAAACAGGTTCCCCCGGAAAGGCTTGTGAAAAACGCAATTAGCGCATTTCGCAATGCTGACGTGCTACAGTTGCCATGGTGCTTCGCTGAGTTTTTAATAAGCTAATGAGCAAGTTCAAAACAGCGTAAGCCCACCGAGAGCACATCTAGGGAAATGTCTAGGCATAGAAATGGTCACATAATGAGCACGCTGATGTGGCGTCGTACCGCCAATATAATAAACCAACAAACCCAGGCTGCTATCACAAAGCTCAAGGATGTTATTCAAAACCGCAAGCTCTGTTCGGAGCCTGTGAGGGTTTAAATAACAGGCAATGACAATCAGCTGAGGCACGTCGTGATGCCTGTGCTGATTGGATGATTCGTGCTCGTCCAGTCAAGGTTAGCACGTGCTGGGAGGCAGCTGGGGAACAGCCCGGGCCGTTTCTGATTTGTGTTGTTTTCAGCTGTCAGTTGGCATCTTCTCAGTGCACCATCAGCAACACTGAGCGTGAACTGGTCATCAAATACAATAAAAAAGATTACATGTAACCATCACTCATTGTATATTGCATGCAATTTTTATCAGTGCGCTTGCTCAATTTATGATTGGAATTAACTCCTGCCGGTTTTCTAATGGCATTCACTTGTCTTTTTTTGTTGAGCCGTGCAGAGCTCTCACGTACAGAATGCTAAACAGAATTTGACTGACTGATTGATTATCGCCCTGTAGCAGCCTGTCGTCCGCTGTTCTCTTCATTTTGGGGCGGGGCCTAGAACGTGTGGCTGTGACACTGGGAGAGATGCAGATGAGCGGCGAGAGTAATAATGTGAGTGATTGTGTGAGAAGAGGTTTAAAAGTGCTTGAGACAGTGATAAACAAGAGCATATATGGGAGATGAGAGAGACGAATGTGTCCTCACCTATCCACCTGTCATTCCCATACCAAGAGAGATTGCCTTTGGTCATATCGAAGTATCCAATCTTCTTGTAGCTTCCTCCTGCCGAGAGAAAAGGAGAGCGTGTGATTCAGAAATAGTTTAGAGTCAACATCAAATGGCATTCGCAAAACATTTTTCCTCTATGTGACATGTTTTTGAGACAGGATATTTAAGGAGGGAAAACATTTTATTGACTTCATTTTATCCACTGGGAATTCAGCTTTATGCAAATTAGCAGAGATGCGAAGTGGAGACTACCAGTGGGAGTGCAGGGTGACCCCGTTAACATGCACTTAAGAAAACGCTTTATTTCAGCATTCTGAAACATCATGCAAACATGAACATTTTCTTTATGTCGCCTAGTTCACCCTAAAATGAACATTTTCTCATCATTTACTTACCCTTATGTCAATCTAATCCTGTAAGACTTTAATAATATTAATATTCACAACACAAATGAAGAGATCTTTAATATTGTCTCATAATTGATAGTCCATCCAACTAAAACATTAAAATTGCAATCATATGAATCAAGTCTTTATATCATGAACAGATTTCATTTATGCTTTTGGTTGACACACATGTATAGAGCACATCAAATATGATAAACGGAAATGCTAATGTGGGTGCTTCAAGCACAAGCCCAATGGGGTTTGTTCTCAAGCATCAAACAAGCACATTTGTACAGGGACATGGTAAATGAAAAAAAAAATGAAATGGGATGAAAAAATATATTTCAGTGTGTTTACGTTCCTTGAAAAAGTAGTGTTTCCCAAAGAAAGTTTCAGTTTCTCCGCAAAAGTATTGCGTCTCCCCAAAAGGTTTTACGTTCTCTCACAAAAGCACTGAAATACAGTTTTCTGTGCGAAGGCAAAGTTTTTGGGGGGAATGTAATACTCTGTACATTTGACGTTCTCTTTACCATATTTGATGTGCTCTATGTTTGAATGTTTATATGTAAATAAAAACCTAAACTCAATCTGTTCATCATATAAAGCGATTGTGTCTACTGTCTATATAGAAGACTTGGATTAAACCACATAATTGATATGAATTACTGTTATGACCTCTTTATGAGCTTTTAGAAGCTTGACAATTTTGGTTGCGTGGACTTTCAGTGAATGGATAAGAATGGCTAAAAATTACGAGAGAATATTAGTAATATCTTAATTTGTGTTTTGAAGATGAATGAAAGTCTTATGGGTTTGGAATGACATGAGGATGATTAGATGAAAACTGAAAAGTCATCATGACCATGCTGTCAATGTGAACAAGGCTTCACTGTTCTCTTAATTCTGAGTCATATCTAGGGATCGGTGTCTGAGTGAGATGTTTAAAACTTTTCTGACAATTGGGAGTTGATTCACAACAACAAGTAATCTGTTTGAGTCTGATTTCGGAGTATTTCTGACCGACTCCTTAAAGTCATGAATCATTTGTTTGTGAATCAGACTACCCTGGTCATGCTGAATGTTTGTTGTTGCCAGTGGTGGAAAGAGTACTGAAAAAATATACTCAAGTAAAAGTACCATTACCTTCCAAAAAATGTAGTGTGAGTAGAGTAAAAGTACTTGTCCAAAAAACTACTTGAGTAAGACTGTTCTAGAAGGATGGCAAATTCATGCAATACCTTGTACACATTTACTCGAATTGTTATGCTGATAATACAATTTGTAAGGAAGCATGCAACTCAATAGAAAGCTGTTAATTTATTGTCTTTATTTATTGCTTCTCTTTTATTATATTAATTTTAAAGTGGAAATTTAACAAACGTTATAAAAATCATTCATTTTTTGGTTAAAAAAAAATCTGGAAAAGAGTCAGTTCCTGATTCCCAATTCCACCCACTTCTGAAGAGGCTTTACTTTTACTTTACTTTTAGTCATTTAGCAGACGCTTTTATCCAAAGCGACTTACAAATAAGAAAAACAGTAGGAAAGGGGAAAAATAAAAAGCGATACTTATTTCCCTTGCCGGTGTCCCTGCACGGTAGAGTCGATGGTCTTTACACTCTTCGGTCTTCACATGGCCAAGCAAAGCGCATGACACTGACAAGGTACGCGATACAGTACGAGGCTGAGGGTCAAGATCTGTAGAGTATTTAGCTTCTTTTTCAAATCTATCATTGACTATTATTGGTGTAACTTTTTCTAAAATTCAAAGTAATGAGCATTAAATTGGAAAGGTTTTATAAAAGCTAGGTTGCCAATAGCCTAAAGTAATGACTACATTATTTGGCTGTTGGATAACATTAACTAGTCGGCACTGCTTAGGTGAACTAAAACAAAAAAAGAAAATCATTCAGATGTGGAAAAGGTCATATATTTCAAATCATTTACAAAAAAGACCAGGAATATGTTTTACAAAAGTAAACGGTCAATTTTGATTTCACATTGACCTTCAGAGCTGCAGGGAAGCGGAAAACAGGTAAAAGGAGAGTTTTAAGGGAGGAACAAAGGAAAGAGAAATGTCACTACACATTGCTGTAAATCAATATGGTGAGGCTGGATCAGATTTAGGGCAGCCTTTAGAGACCAAACAACACTTGGATTAGACAAACAGACTGAAAACAGATCTATCATCATCAATCCTTATATTCCAGCAGGCGTATCAGCAGAGCGTTTGATGAGAATGCACAATAGGGTCGCTCTCCCTTAAAATCAGCTTTATAGAGAGCGCTGTAATTGCGTACCACCATATCAGCAGTGCTCGAGCAAGGACCGTAAGAGGAATTTATCTTCTGTTACATTCTCTCCCTCCTGCTCCAATTCTCTGTTTTCTTTCATGTACACTCTCCCTCTTTCTCAAACACACACTGGCGGGCATCAGAGATCTGTGCAGGGCTCTGAGGACCTCTACCCCCAAAAACAACCAGAAATTAGCTTAAGTGAGAACAATTATAATTATCAGGTGATCATTAAGCATAATTACTCCAGTCAGCTTGGGCTTCCCCCTGGGAGACTTGAAAAAGAGGGAAAAGAGATAGAGGAAGAAAGAAAGGCTCCGGAAGCGCTGTATGATCCAGGCATGAGAAGAAACACCTAAAAGACTGTGATTTCCACCATTTAGATTGTATCCGCTTAGCTCGCTGTTGTCTCTGGCTATAGATCTTCCTAGTTTCATTCTGAAACTAATGTCATCCAGCAACGGACTCAATGTTCACAACACTATTTAGCCCAACAAAATCACTTTTTCAAGTGGTGCTTTCTTAGGTGAACATCACTATTATTATTGCTCATCATAATTTGAACATCTAGGAAACTAAAGCAACAACACAGCAACACATCAGCAACAGCACAACAACACCCTGACAACCAGCTACTAGGGAAGGGTATCGATTCAGATGTCTCGATTCGATTCGATTCGATTCTTGATGTGATTCTCAATTTTTTGATTACATTCAGTGAATATAGCTTTAATACAAATGCTATTGATATTTCTAAAAAATGAACAGTAAACATCAGTTTACAAATGGAGAATTAATAAAAAGTAATTAAGAACACAGACCTGTAGTTTAAACCTATTCTTTTTCTTTCTACAGTCCTATTTTTTTAAACAATAATAGGGCCCTATAAAATGTTTTTCTTAATTTTTCTGGTAATCAGATGAAGGCATAAAACATTAATTTAATTTATCCTAATCAAATGAAAATTAAACCCTTTTATTTTTTTAAAACCTTTTAGAGGTTTACTGTTAAAATTAAAAAGAAAACAAATGTGATTATTCCTTTAAAAATAAAGAGCAGCTGGAGATATTCGTGTTTTTCTGAAAACACCGCGAGCATCGTCTGCGCTTTAGTATGTGTGTAGTAAACAAAACGATTACTACATGCGTCGCGCCATCCGCCATTTATTCATTGCGGAAATCATGGCGACTTATGAATGATGTCAAATGCTTCCGTAGATTTGTAGTATTACTATAGCATTTCACCTGAGCATTGCAAATCAAGCACATTGTTTTTTTCTTGGTTCTTGTCAACAGTATCTCCGCCATGATAAGCACTGAATGAATGACAGGCTTTCCGTTGTAACATCTCGCAAGATAAATAAGAGGGTGACATCTAGTGGAGAAGACTAATGATAAGATTCACGTAAATCAGATCTTGTGTTAAATGTTTGCTGAAATAAATTCCGGAAAAGATTGATTCACGGCTTTTCAGAATCATTATTGAATCGACGTCATTTAAAAAAATGATTAATCTAAAAAAAATTTTTTTTTTTTGCCCAGCCCTACCAGCTACATTAGCATTGTAGAGGTGACTTCTGCATGAGCAAGCTTTATTCACATTTTGGTGAAATCTTTTAATTTGAGACACTAAATAACGAATTAGCAACCACCTAGCAACACCTTAGCAACAGCACAACAACATCCTGGAAACGTCCTATGCCAACATAGCACCGCTGAAGAAACCTTTGCATGGACAAGCATTACTCAGATTTTTGGTGGGCTTTTTGATTCAGACATTAACTAACCACCTAGCAAATCCCTAGCAATCACCTAGACACTCCTTAGCAACAGCACAACAACACCCTGGCAACGTCCTATGCTAACCTAGCACTGTGGAGGTAACTTTTGCATGGACAAGCATCACTCAACATTTTGGTGGACTCCTTTGACTTGGACCAGTAAACAAAAAACTAACAATGTCCTAGCAACACCTTAGCAACACCCTGGTAACCACCTAATTTAACCTAGCACTGCTGAAGGAACCTTTCATAGGTAAGCATTACTCACATTTTGGAGGGCTTTTTGATTCGGACATTAACTAAAAAAGATTGATTCACGGCTTTTCAGAATCATTATTGAATCAACGTCATTTTAAAAAATGATTAATCTAAAAAAAATTTTTTTTTTTTGCCCAGCCCTACTATTTACATTAGCATTGTAGAGGTGACTTCTGCATGAGCAAGCTTTATTCACATTTTGGTGAAATCTTTTAATTTGAGACACTAAATAACGAATTAGCAACCACCTAGCAACACCTTAGCAACAGCACAACAACATCCTGGAAACGTCCTATGCCAACATAGCACCGCTGAAGAAACCTTTGCATGGACAAG